GGCTATACATATATTATTAATATTAGTTACACTGTTGATCTTTTTGTTGTTTGTTACATATTGTTTCCATTCACTCAAAAGTAAAAATATTAATTAGTGAGCATCAGTTCATACTACGTCTACAAAAATGATCTTGTTTTTGTCTGGACTTCTGGATTAAATTAAGATTTACAATTTTAGCTTGTTACCATGGTTACTAAATGAAAGGAAAGTACAGTATTAGAATCACTGGTGTTCATGTAGGTGCGGATGTCAGGCAAAAAGAACTGGTATCAAAGTAAGTTCATCTGTAGAATTGCAGTTAATTTAAATAATTTAATGTTATCTATTTAAAACTTTTTCAAGTGTAATTGTACATGTTACAGCATGCATACCATGTATACTGTTGTTTATTTATGTCTTTCTGATGTCAAGTATGCATCAGTTTGGTGGCCTTCGGCTGTTGTCTGCTCTATGGTTGGGTTGTTGTCTCTTTGACACATTCCCCATTTCCATTCTCAATTTTATCAAGGAATCCTTCTTCTGCTCCACACACACACACGCATGAGATGTCAGAAGTTAAAATAATTATAGCATTTGCTTATATTACAATGTAATATGAATTGTATATTTAAAAGTTGTTCTCGTCTTGAATATACATAAAATATTTGCCACTGAACATTAAAATAAGCTAGAAAAATTAATCAATTATTGTTTTTGCATTATAGGAAAGAGTTTTCAAACATATAACAATTGAATAATTTCCTTTTAAGATTTTTTATGAACCAGCATATAGATATAACATGTTTAACATGTATGAGGAGATGAGGAACATGTATGATTCTCAATATGACAACTATCAATTCAAAAACCAAAGGACGAAGATGTAAACATTTCCTGGTCACTGTACAGCCATAAACAATGATCAAAATCAATACCATAAAGTAACCTATTTTGGCTATAACTTGTATAAGGATGAAAAAATGTGAACCAATGAAAAAAATAAAACTACAGACAGTATGGCAGACAGCACCCAACATTAGAAACAAATGTCAAAATCAGTCAGAAAGGGATGGACTTATCAACAAGCACTTAAAAAGAAATAACAAAATAATAAAAGATGCAAAATCATGTTTTCCCAAACTAAAATATCTATCAATTCACATTCAACAGATTTAATCAATTAATGTAACAACAAAACATTTGTCATTTCAAACAGTCTAAGAAAGCATGCCTTTGTGTAATGCCAAAATATTGAACACACAGGAATATGTAGGACCATAACAGCATATAAGTATTTATAATTGCATAGAATTTCTATTTCTGAAATACATGTTCTGCTTTTTATCAAGCTTGCAAATTTATTTCACGAAATCGAGACAGTGATCCTAGATTCTGCCAGGGGCGGCGTTGCTGTCCTTAAGTTTAGGTTCAGTCTGTGGTTAAAGTTTTTTTGTAATGTTAATTTCTCTCTTATTAATATTATTTATAGTAATCATGGTAATAGGGTATTTCTATTTACTTAGTATGTGGGTACCTTGCAAGGTCCTATAGCTAGTGTCTGTCTACTCTGTCAGAAAGTTTTCGTGGTCAAGTCAATATCTCAGGTATTATAAGAAATAAGTTATACTTACTATATTTGGTGTATGGAATTATTGTAAGGTGTAGATGTCCAACTGGCAGTTGTAATGATGGCCGATTGAATTTTTTCAAAAGAGTTATGCCTCTTGGAAATATTAAATTTATGGAAAATGGCCTCGTAAATGCTCTCAATTTTTTTTTATTAAACTTATAGAATACTATTATAGTAATGCCCTTGAAGGTCAGTTTGAAATATTTAGTATACAAGAAAAAGAACTTTTTTCCCCCAAGCACATTTTTTATTTATAAATATTTTTGAGAACAAAAAAACATGGTTTTTTTTAATCATGTTAATATTTCCCCTTGATAGATAAACTAGAGGCTCTCAAGAGCCTGTGTTTCTCACCTGACTCTACTTGGGTTTTTGAAATCATATAAAAAAAGATAAAAATCATGACAGATACTTATAATAATGTTTGAGGCCAAATTTGGTTTAATATTGCTATGTTTGCTTTCATTCCATTCAGTGGTTCTCTAAAAGAAGACATTTGTATGTATTTCCTGTAGGGTCCTTTGTTAAACTTAGCCCCCTGCTTGTGGCCATCTTGGATGATTGATCAGCTACAAAGTAACAACACTTGATCAGCACCTCATAAGGAACATTCATGCTATGTTTGGTTTCATTCCATTCAGTGGTTCTCTAAAAGAAGACATTTGTATGTATTTCCCATAGGGTCCTTTGTTAAACTAAGTCCCCCGCTGGTGGCCATCTTGGATGATGGATCAGCTACAAAGTAACAACACTTGGTCAGCACCTCATAAGAAACATTCATGATATGTTTGGTTTCATTCCATACAGTGGTTCTCTAAAAGAAGACATTTGTATGTATTTCCCATAGGGTCCTATGTTAAACTAAGTCCCCCGCTGGCGGCCATCTTGCATGATGGATCGGCAACAAAGTAACAACACTTGGTCAGCACCTCATAAGGAACATTCATACTATATTTTGTTCCAATCCATTCAGTGGTTCTCTAGAAGAAGTTAATAATGTAAAAAGTTAACGACGACGAAATATAAATAGAAATATCACGTACATCATAGGAAATATAATATAGACAATAGAAATGGAGTACACATGTATGTCAAAGAGACACACATATGAAAATAGAATATAGACAATAGAAATGGGGTATGTCAAAGAGACACACATATGAAAAGAGAATATAGACAAAAGAAATGGGGTATGTCAAAGAGACAAACATATGAAAATATAATATAGACAATAGAAATGGGGTATCATGTCAAAGAGACACACATATGAAAATATAATATAGACAATAGAAATGGAGTATGTCAAAGAGACAAACATATGAAAATATAATTTAGACAATAGAAATGGAGTATGTCAAAGAGACACACATATGAAAATATAATATAGACAATAGAAATGGAGTATGTCAAAGAGACAAACATATGAAAATATAATTTAGACAATAGAAATGGAGTATGTCAAAGAGACACACATATGAAAATATAACATAGACAATATAAATGGGGTATGTCAAGGAGACACACATATGAAAATATAATATAGACAATAGAAATGGAGTATGTCAAAGAGACACACATATGAAAATATAATTTAGACAATAGAAATGGAGTATGTCAAAGAGACACACATATGAAAAAATAATATAGACAATAGAAATGGGGTATGTCAAAGAGACACACAATAGAAATTGGGGTCTGTCAAAGAGACACGCATAAGAAAATAGAATATAGACAATAGAAAATGGGGTATGTCAAAGAGACAAACATGAAAATATAATATAGACAATAGAAACGGGGTATGTCAAAGAGACACACATATGAAAATAGAATATAGACAATACTAGAAATGGTGTATGTCGAAATGACAAACAAATGAAAATAGAATATAACAATAGAAATGTGGAACAATGTATGTCAAAGAGACAAAAATATGAAAATAGAAGAGACAACAACTTAGTACTTTATATAAAAATTATGGAGCACTTATTGTTTTTTATTTGTTTGAGCTTTTGAATTTGCCATGTATTTTCTGTGGTGTTTGCTATTTTGGGTTTTTTACTTTTTAAAGCAACAACTCATCACAATGAAGTATTTACACTCAAAATGAGTTCTTGACATAAAAAAAAGATAACAAATTAAAGAAAAACATATTAAAAAACATCAAAACATTACCCTTAAAAACCTATCGCAAAAAAAAAAAAATACATATACAAACCATGTTTAGAATCTAATAGAAAATAAATGCATTTGAACAATTAAAAACCTATAAAAAATATATATTTAGGACCAAGATAAAATCATATGAAAACATATGTTTGGGCAAAACATATGAAAACATATGTTTAGGCCAGGTATGAAAACATATGAAAAACATATGTTTGTAAAAAACATATGAAAAATTTTCATATTTTTACATGTATGAAAAACATGTTTTTCATATGATTTTAAAAACATATGTTTTTCATATGTTTTCCATATGTTTTTCATATGTTCGAAAAGATATGTTTTCATGTCGGATCTAAACATATGTTTACATATGTTTTCAAACATATGTTTACATATGTTTTCAAACATATGAAAAACATATGTTAAACATATGAAAACATATGGTGCAATTTTTCCTATGTAGCAAGGAACAAAAAAAAAAGATCGAATAAAGAAAAAAAAAAGGCAAAATAAACATGATAAAGGACTAAAAATTCCAAAAGTTTATATATGTCAATGAATTAGGCAAATTAGAGTTTCGATGGTTCTTTTTGTCCGGATACGTCTATACTTGTGGTGCTTTGTGGTTTCACCAGCTCTTTAACAATTGTACTAGGTTTTTGATTTTCAAAGAATTCGACCTCGTGACCATCGGATACAAGAACTACTTTATCCTAACTGGATTAGTAAACATTCAAGTGAAGATTATATTACCGGCTTATATTAAAATTTTACAAAAATAGTTGCATTTACAGAAATTTTGAAAACGACTGTAAAATACTTAAAATAATTTTGTCATAATGACATCAGTGCACAAACAGTTAAATGTGTCATAAGTTGGTTTGAAAAGTGACCATTTAGTAATATGATAACTGCTATAATGTTGACCGAAGAACCGAAGTACATATGAGTTGACTGTCTCATTTTTTGTTACAGAAGTTTTTGAGGAAAGAAGATATCCCCTATTATTGAAAAGGCCACAAACAGAACATGTCTTACCATACATTATTAAAATCTGTAGACACATAAACACTATAGGCAAATTATGATGGTATGTCACAGTTGACAAATGAAAACTGAATTCATAGATTTAAGTATTAAGATGTCCGTCTAATATGTTTACGCAGTGTACCTTATCTAACGCTCACGAAAATATATGTGATATAAATAATTCTAAAACAGATTATTGTTTGATACTTTTATCTTTGATTAATATGAAAAAAAGTTCTATTTGGTCTTAAAAGTAAGTTTTGTATGAATTCCGTCATGTGAGGAGTACAAAACAAGTTAGACAAAATTAAAACCCGTTAGAATAAACGACCGTCTGTTGGAATATCAGTCCATTACACTACAAAAATTGTTATCGATTATACAATTCCACAGTTTGATCATTTCTGCCTCGGATGTAATTGTTATTGGAACCAGTGTGGTTTTCCACGAAGGAGTATTTTTATCAAACAAATGCAGATAATATGTTTCAAAACTTCTCTTAATTACCATCATGAACATCATCTTCACTGGTCTTTGAGTTGAGTTTGTCCTTGCTGGCAAGAGAGAAATACCACGAAAATGGAATGGCGTATTCACCAGACGAGTTGGTACATCTTATTGTTTCTTTCACCTTTTTAAAAAATGTTTTATATCGCTTAATATGACAATATAGTTTTTCCATTCCCGAAGGACACATTTGTTCTGCATCATTTTTTCGCGCCCGAAAGTTAGTAAATCCTTTATAGAAATAAATTAAAAAGTGAAGACTATTTGGTGATCCAATAAAAAATGCACATTTAATTAACAATTCGTAAGTTTCATTTAGTTTTAACAAAAGCTGTTCAATACATTTGTTGTTTTGAACTTTCATACCTAGATTGTATACGCATGCTCCATACTCTTGTGTCTGTGCTTTGTAATTTACTCCGTCTTCAAAATCTGTACCAAACAGTATGTGTTCCTCAAACTTTTCTTCTAGAATTACCATTAATGATGCAGTGTTCTTATCAGTTTTGTATATTTCAGTGTTTATTACTTCCCAAAGGCCAATGATAGTCTTAATACTTCCGTAGGTTAGTAAGTTTGTTTGCATGAATTCTATGAACCGGGACACCACGTCCGTTCGCCTGCCTTTTGCCGATATCCCGTCGATAATATAACGAATTTTACAGTGGTTTTCTTTACTCCTATATGTATCTAAAATGCTGTCTAGGAATCTATTGACAAATTCATAATTTCCTTCATCTACTCCAATTCTATATAAAAAGTTGCCGATTTCCGCCATTGTTTTATAAGTTTTATTTTCGTCAATGATAGAAATAAGCTTTACCTGAAGTGATGTATCGTCTAGTTGATAAAACTTATAATGTTTGATAGTCGAACTCTCTGGTCTAAAAATTAGACAAAAGACATTTATGTCAGCATATTTAAAAGCACAATCACGAATGATGTCGGAATTGATTTTCAAATTCATCAAACAGGTGCCTCTTCTGGTAAGTCCATTGAGAAACTTCGTCATTTGCTCTGGTTGTGGTGGTAATTTAGAAAGTCTTTCAAGAAATATTTTGACAAATGAAACATATCGCCTTTCAATAATGCAATTTCGAATATATTCTCCTATCATTTCTGGACAACCACGAATAATTTGATATGCGAATTCACAGATATCATTTTCTTCTTCTGTGTCACTTCTATCGCTTCCAGCATCTTCTGCCTGTAGATCGGATAAGCTTTTGGCGTCATCCGCACTGTCATCGCTACCAGGATCTTCTGCTTGTAAATCGAGTAAGCTATTACCATCATGGGTACTTTGGTCGCTGCCAGGATCCTCTTTCTGTAAATCGAGTAAGCTTTTCACGTCATCAGTATATTCAGATTTATCGCTTTCATCAAACTTGCATTGTTCTTGGTAGTCATCTTCCTCATCTTGACCTTCAATTCGCGGAGGAAACCATGGATGAGATATTCCTACAAGTTTAAACATTTCGCAGTGACTTAGAAGAAAATCTTTCTCTAGAAAATAACAAAGCTTATCAATGACTAATTTAGGGTCAACATGGATAACAGATGATTTCGGGTCAGGTTGCTTTAAGCTAGGTCTTATATATTGTAAAATGAATTGGAGTTCACAGATGTCCAGATTCATCAACATTTCGGGGCATTCGTTACCGAATGAGACCAGAACAGCATCATGTACAGCTTGATGTTTAAACATGTAGGCCTTTCCTAATGTATCAGGACAATTATCTAGGTAAAACTCATTGTACCTAGAACTGTTGATCAGGTATCCACCTTCAAGGCTACGTATAGCTTGTTGGACCAATGTTTTTCGTATCTTTGTTTCCCTGTTATCAAATAAGGAAAATATTCTCTTGAATAGTTGATCATTTTCTATATGACTTTCTATTATATTGTTATCGAAGAAATTATGTTTCAAAGCAGTGTAAACTAATACACTGTACTGATACCGACATGATAATTTTTCAAAGCTTTCTGAGAATAGATCGTTGATCTTATTAATTAAGGATTTATTTGTGTTACGGAAATATGAAACACCAAGACATGTCAATGATTTATCACAACAAAACATACGACACGTTTCCGGAAATCCAACATATGTATCACTCATACAGCATGTATAAATTGTGTCGGTACATATTTGGATTTTACCGCATGGTAACTGCTGAACATTTGCAGTACATTCAGATGAACAGCCAGGCAAAGGATCGTAGTCAAAACATACATCTATCTTTAATTTACTTTTGCATGGGCTTATTGCATTATATCTCATATGACTCAAAAGAATGGTGATACGTTCTTTGTCTGACAGGCTGTAATCATAATCCAAATTGAGAATGCATTTCTGATGAAATATGTCATGCTTTGCTAAAATGCTTTCCTCGCATGTTGGGTCGTTTCTGATGGTAAACACCATTTTTAAAAGAGTAGACGTCTTTAAACAACTTAACAAAATATCCAGAATATTTCTATGGTAATCTTCGTAAAAGTCAACGCTCGTTCTACCAAACAGATCCTCGACAATTACAATATTTTTATCGGTTAATGAAATTAAATCTCTGTACTTAATAACTTCTTTGTCCGAGAAGAAAAGCGGAATGTATCCTTCATCTTGGTAAACAGATGCTAAATGAAGAGCTATCTGTGTCTTTCCAGATCCTCCTTTACCACGGATAATTACTAGGTTTTGTTCTTTTAATACATTTTTCCCCTTATCAAGTGCAAACGTTTCAACAAATGTTTCATCTCCTCGGTGACTTTTGATTCTGGCAATGCTGTGATCTATATAAATGTAAAAAACTGAATTTATATTACGTTTAAGAATTGCGAACAGTTTCTTCGAACATATCCCAAAGGTAGATATTAGATATTGACATTTTGAAAGCCAAATCTGTAAAGATGTAATAAAACAAATTTACAATTGTATTAAAAATCATCTAAACGACAAAACGTTGGTGCTATGATTGGAAAACCGTATTCACACCTCTTTTATCACAATTTTATGAAGCTGTTGGGATGAATCTGATGCTCGTTTGCGAAAATTATTTTTTATCAAAAAGAGGCGGAAGATACCACGTAGTCATTCAAAGCTCGTAAACCGACAAAGACACGGCAAAACACGAAAGACCACGAAAACACAAACAATAGTCTACTGGAGACCAAATATTGGAACTCCAAATATATTTAACACAGAAGTTCAATATCACAAAATGACATTTTATGAATTTCGTGCGTCCGATGCCCACTTCTAAATTTTCCTACATCAGAAACGCTCAAGCATAAACATTTATAAGACAAATATTTTGAAATACTTATACACGTGAGTAGCAATTTAATCTTAAAGGAATTAAAAATAATAGCTACATATATTAAAGGTTAATTTTGCCTAAAAGAGTTGGGAGGTTATTTATTAATAATTTCTTAACTTATTAACGGGAAGTTTAGAAAAGTATATTATATAAAGGCAACAGTAGTATACCGCTGTTCGAAACTCGTAAATCGATAGAAATAAAAACAAATCCGGGTTACAAACTAAAACTGAGGGAAACGCATCAAATATAAGAGGAGAACAACGACACAACAAAAACACAACATTAACATGTAACACACACAGAAACGAACTATAATATAACAATGGCCATATTATAAATCATATCAATATACCGAAAAAATGACTTCTGTGTTTATTAACATACATTATCATTAAGTAGTATAGAGCCGATGGGATATTTAGAAAAAAGAAGAATCTAGCCGTATTTCTTGACATTTGCGACACGTAAAATATTAAAACAATTAAGGTAACCACTAATTTATCAAGATAATATAAGCATATACACTGTCGCTACAGTGTCTTTTATCACCAAGTCCACAGCAGAGTTTAAAATCGTATGGAGTAACTACCACATGTATGCGATGATTGTTTAAATTGCAGGAAAGCTCTTAAGGCAGGTATTTTTATTTACAATCGAATACAAGTATTTGCAGTCTACGCATATGTTGAATAATTCCTATTCTAGGTAGAAATATTTGTTTGTCATAAAAAGGGGGACTCAAGTCTCATTAATTGCTACGTCAGAACAAAATAAAAAAATTGTGTATATACGCTGATGTAGGTTAAATGAGAGAAGCTTTAGACCAGATGATCTAGTTTTGCCCGATACATGTTCATGCACGTGTCCAAAGTCAGGAACATTGTCAGTATTACCGTACATATTTATAATGACATTTTGTACAAACCTAAAGAAAAATGTAAGATATCTCACCTATAAGATTTTGCTTTCTTAAATCTGTAATGAAAAAAAAAATTACACAATCAAATTGTCTTTCATTTAAAAACTCAAAAAATACAGCAATATATCAGCATATTCAACACACAATTTTCTCTAGAATTTCATTGCTTGTATATGTATATTTCTTCAGGTATAAATATATGTTTTCGAAGGCTGTCTTTGTGTATTTTAAGGACATATCAATGTGAAGATTAATCGTTCCAATACATGTTAAATGTTCAAAAAAGTGCTTTATTTGTATATATTTGGCAAAACCTTTCGAAATTGTGGGTTCTCAATGCTCTTCAACTTCGTACTTTATTTTGGCCTTTCTTAATGGTTTTATTTGAGCGTCACCAATGAATCATTTGTAGAAAAAACGTGCGACTGGTGTACAAAAACCTAATCCTGGTATCTATGATGAATAAATAAAGGCAACAGTAGTATACCGCTGTTCGAAAACTCATTAATCGATAGAGATAAAAACAAATCCGGGTTACAAACTAAAACTGAGGGAAACGCATCAAATATAAGAGGAGAACAACGACACAACAAAAATACAACATTAAAATGTAACACACACAGAAACAAACTATAATATAACAATGGCCATTTTCCTGACTTGGAACAGGACATTTTAAGAAAAAAATGGTGGGTAGAACCTGGTTTTGTGGCATGTCAAACCTCCCGCTTTTATGGCAACGTCAAACACAACACCAAAACGACAACATCACATGACAGGACCACAATACAAATAAATGGGAGAACATATAGGACAAAGAAACACACGAATAATAGCTAACAAAAGGTACTAGGCTTAAAATTCAATACTCCAGACGTGCGTCTCGTCCACACAAGACCAACCAGTGACGCTCAGAAGAAAAAAGTATGAAAGCCAAAACAATTACAAAGCCGAAGAGCACCGAGGACCAAAACTTCAAAAAGCTGCGCCCAACACGGCCAGGGTTTTCTGCCTAGGACAAGAACATCCTTATTATTTAGAATAATTTATAATTTTGCAAACAGTAAATTTTATAAAATGACTATATAATAGATATACATGATAAAACCGAAGTGCGGACTAACTACAGAATAAAAACGGATACATTACATAAAACAATTTAATCCAACACATAAAAATACACAGCCGAGTTAGCCAAAGCCTCAACGCACAAAGTGACGTCACATTTGAAATTTAAAAAAAACCACACAAAGTGACGTCACATTTGAATTTGTAAAAATATTTCCCAAAAATAAGATAGGATTAGGATTGATTCAAGATTAGATTTGTAATACTGACATTAACTTGGATAGCCAAATTGTCCTTATTGAGGAGAACTAACAATGATAAATTGTCACTAATTCCGAATGGAGACTATAATTATTAAATGAGTTTTTAAAACCACAATTCGTTTAAATGAATTCATCGTACCTAAATTAAAAATAATTCCAAACTGACAGAATTACCTAATATTCCCAATTTGGCCACCTCAATGGTCACTTTTTCTTTAAGATCCACACTTATGTTGTCAATTTTATCCTTTATCTCTTGTCTTGTCTGTTCGACGTGTGTAAGAATACTTTCTGTTTTTTCTTCTGTTGTCGATCGAATATTGAGTTCAGTCTGATTTAAATGTCCAATGAGTTCCTCGTGATTCAACTGCAGAACTTCTCTCTCTTTTCCTATTGTCCTCATAACTTCTTTGTTCTGTTTATAGACTTCGTCATTGAGTTTCACCTCATTACTTTGTATTCTTTCATATAAAATTTCATCCCTTTTATCAAAATCCAACTGCATGCCTTCCATTTTTTCTGTAATTGTTTTATTGTGAGATGAAATATTGGTGGTGATTTCCAAAATGTGCTGAACAATTTGATCATTGTTTTGTTTCGATTGTTCTCGTAGATTATTTATTTCCTGTAGAAGAAGTTGAACTTTTAAACTCTTTTTGTTTTTATATAGTAAATGACTATTCAACTAAGAATTTCATAACGGAACATACATATAGAATACACAAGGACATTTGAGTATGAATAAAAAAAGACAAAAATGTAGCACATTAAAACTTAAGTTGTTGCAGGAATATTCATTTTCATTTAGAAATAACTATTTATGGACGTTAACTTGTAATAGTAACTTATGAATATTTGTATTAATAGAGGTTGATTTAAAGACACTTTAATTGTGCCGTGATTATAACCGTATGTTAGCCTTTAAACGTCTTTTGTTACTTGTGTCTTTTGGCTGCTGTCTCATTGCTTTAAGATATATCTGTACAGAATGAAAATGCAGTTTTTGTATGTTTTATATGTGTAAAGTATTAAGCTTACCATTCTGATGTCTTCATTTTGTTGAATATCATGTAGCAAACAAATCTGGTACTGTTGACAAATTGTTTCATCCAATGGTCGAACCTCAGTATCTTTAAGTTTCTGTTTCATTTCACTTTCTTTTTTGCATGATTTTGCAATTGTTAGAATTACTTTTTCAATTTGATTTTTGTATAGAATATAGTCAGTGTCTGAACATCTAGCTTCTTCTGCATGTCCATACAATTTATTCCGATATCCAACAAGGTCATCAACTACAAGGCGTATGCTGCTATTCTGAGGACAGATGGTGGCAAAATTAATCAGTAGACAACGAAGAAGTGTTAAATCCAGATGCTTTGGTGTAAGTGTAGTTTTTGCTGGACAACAATAGAATTGTAATGAGCTTTTTATATTATGACAAGACAGTTGTTGCCCATTTTTGTCTAGAAGTACATTTAATTGATCCGGATGTAGAACTCTACTTGGGGGAGTTGTAAGTGGTAATCTGCCATTTATACATTGGCAACATGTATATCTGTTAAAGCATAAATGATATATTTCATGTTGATTCAAGTTTATAAAATCCTCCAGTGTTTGATTGCTAGTGTTTAGTTCATTATCTAGCAACAAAATCAACGACTCTTTCCCGTGATCAACAATAATTGTCGAAATTCTATAAAAGTTTTCTCTCTCCCGCTGCGTGCTTAACCTAAAACCATGAAAATGAAATAAGTTAGATGACTTTATTTTTTAACAAAACTGTTACTTTAGGCTGTTTTGTGGATTAAAAGTTTGAACCAGGTTGGAGTCTCATGGCATGAAATCGAAATGCTGCTCTCGATAAGGAAAAAAGATGCCATGTTAGATAGTTTTAACCAAGATTATCCTCGCTATTGATGAGGTTCTTATTGCTCGATCTATAGTTTTTTTTTTATGTAGTGTCGAATGACTTTTTAGTTGTTTATTTTTCGTCGTTTTTGGTTTGATTGCCCTGATTTTGCCAGTCTCTTATCCTCATGTTTGTTTTGATTATCTCTTTTGTATCTTCTGTCTCTTTTTAACTAGGGTATCTCGCTAGGGATTGTTTCACATCACATCTATAGAAAAATCTCAAAATGTACAGACTGACATTAAAACCTTTATAAATCTGTAATCAGAAATAAACATTGAGAGCATTGATTTGTACGCAGTCGAGGTCTTGACGGTGACGTTTAGACATGTAAAGTTTCTGTGAAAAAAAAGTCGAAGAAAATGAATCAAATATTCGCCAGGACTAAATTGTGATAGCTTGCAGTTTTGCTGCTTTTTCGGAAGTACTTAAATAATTGGCATGTTCGGCATTTTTAAAATTTGTTCTATCAAAATTAAATTTGGCTTAAGAAAAATGATTATTTCCATTTGATTCACACGGTTATGTATTTTATAGGTTACTTTTTGTAAATACACATAAAATATCTTTTAAATATAACATCAAGTGATAAAATTCAAGTCTACCCTATTGTCATGCAAAGGGATAAATGATTTTAAACAATTAATCGTGCATTAGATAATCGTTCCCAATTGTGAGAAACTGAAAGTAATTCTAAACATTTTAAAAACGAAAAAAAAACTTTATAAGTTTTATGCATTCGAAGCGCTTTTCTAGATTTACCTTCATCATGAACACTCGAAGCCGAATATTTGAAAGCCAAGGATGTATAAGAACTAAAACAGCTGAAGCGTTATATTACCAAAAAAGTTTTATAAAATCTGTTTTTGTATGGTTTAAAATTCAAACATATATATCGATTACATTGTGTACAGATATTAAATGTCTCATTTACGATTCAAAGTTTTTACCATGTTGCTTTAAATCGGAAATGTAACAGTGATCTTATCTATATTATGGGTCTTTTGTCTGGTCGCTTTATAGCGCATTGTTCCAATGCACCGATACATATTATTTAATCAATAAGTGACTTATAACAAAACATACAATCAAGGCACTTTAAAAAATTACACTTTTGAAAAAAACATACACACATGCACACTTTTTGGAAATAAGAAATGTTTTCATTTTTATCAGATATGTGTCGATGCTGAAAAGCTGGCCATCTTTGTGTAATCGACTAATGACGATAATATAATGTAGTAAATGTTGAAACATTTTGGAGATATCATTGGAAAAAGTACGCGACCTATAAACATGTATTTATACAGCCTTGGCTTTCAAATGTTAAGGTTTGACCGTTCCCGATGAAAGTAAATCAAGAAAGGCACTTCGGACGCACGAAATTAATTTAATGTTATTCTAATTGAATTTATTACAGTTAGACTGTTTGCTTTGGAAATGATACAGAATTGTTAAAAAATAATTTTTTATCTAGGGGCTTTTTATATGGTATGGTGTCCATGTTAAAGGACACACGCTGACCTATAGTTGATTACCATCATGAACTCTGATGGATAGTTGTCTCTGTGGCAATCATACCACATCTACTTATTTTTATATAAAAGTAAATGAATTAGCTAAACAGAGATAGAATGATTATCATTACTATTTTTTTTTTCGTATCTATTACTTGTTATTTAAAACTACATTTTATACTTTGAGGTTAAGCAAACAACCATTAGTAACGTCTATTAAACTCTTTGCATAGGTAAGACATTAAAAAGTACACAATGTGTATTGTTGAAGAGTGCCTCTTGACCCTTACATGTCATTGTAAACACTTTGTTGACAGAAAACCCATATATCTTTTTATCATACAATACCTTTTTAATTTCAAAAACATCACAGGTTCGTTGAGCTTTTTTATCGATTTGATAATCCAAACGTTAAATAAATTATAACAATAACGTATACTTACATTTTAATTTAGAAGTTATCGCTTCGCATATGACTCCAATTGCTTTCAAAAGACTTTAAATACTTTTGTTGGTAATGTAACCATAACTTCGCAAAAGGAAACAGGAAGTGACGGGGTATATTGTAAAAGATCAAATTATTTATAGAAAATATTGGAAAACAGTAACAAAGGTATTAAAATAAGACAAAAATAGTGCAGTTATTGATAATAAGGGGAGAACCCCAGGTTTTTGGTGAGGGTTCGTGTTGCTCAGTCTTTAGTTTTCTATGTTAAGTTTTGTAAAGTCTTGTTTTCTTTTTGAAGTATTTTGATTTTTGCCATTGTATTATCAATTCGTTTTTCGAGTTATTAGTTTGAATATTCCTTTTGTGTCGTCCAACTCTCTTTTAATGAAACCTGTATAAATCATCAACTTTCTCCAATCAATAAACGTATGATGTGACGAAGACCCATCAAGTCATGTTTTTACTTCCGTATGACAATATTGCTACTATATATTATCTCACGATGTAATCAATATAGGAAACGTTAAGACCATTTTGATCAGTTGCCAACAATAATCGAATGGTGGCGGAAAAGCGGAACATGACCAAACTAATTCAGTTAGTGCTTATATCAACACGACGGGTGCAACATGTAGAGCAAGATCAGCTTTCCCTTCCGGAGCACATGAGATCTCTTCCGATGTTTGATTGGGTTTGGGTTCCACAGGCTTTAGTTTACTTTGTTGTGTTTTGTGTACTGTTGTTGGTCTTTTCGTCGTTTTTTTTTTATTTTGCTACGGAGTTGTCAGTTTGCTTTCGAATTATGAGTTTGGTATTTTTTGCCTCTTTTTTACAAACATTAAGTTGGACATCGGATACTTTATTCTTCAGATAATCATTTAATACGTACACATGTGGTTTTTATCATTTGGGGCAATTGAATTGGTATGCCGTATGTTTTTGGGCATTTTGAATGCAAAATTGGACGAGATGACCCTTTACCAATGCCAAGAGGATTTTGTTCTTTGAAAAAAACTAAACTCCATACCATCTACATGATAAGAAGAATAAAAGAAAAACTGCAGCATATAAAAGACAGTGTAGTAAATTTCACAAATGATTACATAGTAAAAAATGATAAACATATCATTGGCGACATGAACAAATCTAAAGTAATAGTTACGCTGTAGAGGCTTCCCAGACCGAATTAGATCCATATTGTTAAAACATTTCCAGTATTAACCAATTGTCGTCAACCATATTTGATTGAAAAAAAATAGTCTTGGGCCGATTGAAATCGTTGAGCTCTACGAAAGAAAGCCATTCCTTATATGAAAAAAAATAACCATGAAAAAAAGAAGAATGTAACATATAGATATAGGAAGATGTGGTATGAGTGCCAATGAGACAACTCTCCATCCAATTAACAATTTATAAAAGTAAACCATTATAGGTCAAGGTACGGCCTTCAACACGGAGCATTGGCTCACACCGAATAGCAAGCTATAAAGGGCCCCAACAATAACTAGTGTAAAACCATTCAAACGGGAAAACCAACGGTCTAATCTATATGAAAACGAGAAACGAGAAACACGTATGAACTACATAAACAAGACGACAACTACTGTACATCAGATTCCTATGTCTATATATGTCGTCCTGTCCTTAGGAAATACTATATCAAAGTGAATGAAACAAATTTCTTCGTACATCAACCTATCAATATGAACGACTTTTCGCAAATTGTATTTTATAGAATGTAAAAAAGGAAGTAATCATAGATATAATTACAAAACAAAACATACTCTGAAGTAAATCTAAAAAGGGAAAGTCAATGGAAACCAAACAAATCGAATCCTCAACTTAATCAACCAATGAAACGACTGGAATTTCTTACCTTTACCGAAGAAATTGATGGGTTAAACTTGGTTTTACAGCTAGCAAAACCTCCCACTTTTTTGACAGTTTTAGTTTCAATATATTGAAAAATGTTATGAGCAACACAAACAGACATAATTGATTAATGTACAATAAACTAAATAATCCAAACAAACATACAATTACATCTAACAAGGACGCCAACAAACAAGTTTTGTAGTTGATAGTTTAAATAATGTAGTAATGTAAAGTAAAAACAATCAACTCCTTTCACTTCTACTTGTAAACATACAGAAGGAAAGAAGAGCACATGTAAGACAAGTTAAATGTTAATCACTGCTGTAGATTTCACTAGTAACTTAACAGGGAAAACTTATTATACAAAATCTTTTGATTCTCTGGACTATTCCACGCATAATGTCGTTTACGGAATTGAACGTAATTTGTTTGGGCTACTTTTTGTGGAAACTGGGCAAACTTTGCGAAAAAGGATGAATCATTACCGGTTTGATAATAAAGATCCACAATTCAGGGTTCTTTATTACCATTTTAATCAACCGGACCATGATCCTTCTTTATTTATGAAAGTACGCATCATCGAAAAAATTTATCACCACAACATACTCCTTTCCGAAAAAGTCTACCAAATCTAGATCTAACTTTGGGAGCTTTGATGACCTTCTTTCACATCTTCATCATTTGCTAGGGTTACATTACATTAGAACTATTCTCTTTTCACTGCCTGTTGATTTTCTTATATGTTTGAGATATTATGCACTTGACAAGGGATGCATATTTGTACGACTTTGCCCCCCGCAGAGCTATAGAAAAACAGTACATTAACGGGTGTTACACGGACTCTTTTTAGATGATACACGGACTCTTTTTAGTTGTTACACGGATACTTTTTATGAATAGATTCACTCGTGCATGATCAGTGAGTTCATGGGCACTTTAACTTTCAATTAGATTTGAACTTTTTGGTTCACCGACATATTTCCGGTCTTTTTATTAAACAAAATATTTACGTTAGCATCAATATCTTTTTTCAAACATTTTCAGTAAAATACTATTCATATCAGTACACTAAGGGATTAGACATTTAACTTCAAAAAGGGGGGGTGTATGGTTTTCTCCTTAAAAAAAGATATTTTGATCCCAAATTTTATGAGAAAAAATTTACTATGGTCAAGCAGATGACAAATTAATGTTCTGCATGATTCCTGATTTTCCGAATACCGTATAGTGCTAATTTAAACAAAAATATTTGGGTGATGGCGTTGAAAAGTAAATAGTTAATATACTCAGAAAAGAACATACCGCCCCATTTATGAAGCAAAATAATCGGTCAATAAATGTTTTCTTCAATATATGGACATGAATAGTATTTTGGACAATGCTGAAAGTAAAGAAATGATGATACCGACGTTCATATTTCAATAAAAAAAGACAGGAAATAAGTAAATAAAAATCAAATCTTATCAAAAGATAAAATCCCTATCAACTCACCAATGCACGATTGATCCTATAAAAAAAAGTGTTCGTGTAATACACGTCCAAATAAGCAGCAAATCTAGAAGAAAATCATTCAACTTATGTCATCAATTTTGGACGGTAAGCTGCGATTGGATCATATAGTAACACGTGTTTAATCCCGATCAACACTTGCAGATCTAGAGACGAGCATGAATTTAAAAAAAAATCAAAGTATATGCCTGAATATATATAATATTAAGACAAAATCCATTTTTTCATAACATTTCATTCACTAATGAAGTAGGAAATTCATTCTTTTGATACATTTATATTGTTATTGAATTTATATATACATATATATCAGTTGCGGATCCAGCCATTTTAAAAAAGGGGGTTCTCAATCCAGGACAAAACAGGGGGGGGGGGGGGTCCAACTATATGTCCCCATTTAGATGTATTGATCGTTCAAAAAAGGGGTGTTACAACCCCCGGGACCCCCACCACTGAAGATTGAATCCGTGTATTTGGCAACAAACGTGCGATTTTTACGATTTTTTTAAAGGGGGAATGGGGGGATGGAATGGCACATTCTGCATTTTTTCATCAAAATAAAGATCACAGTCTGTATATTTTAAATTAAATTAGGCCCCCCTCCCCGCATTCCGTTTCATCCATAAAAATCAAACGTCAGCTTACTTACCACTAAAATATTTCTTTAATATATTACTGTTTTACGAAGTTGCATTTTAAAAAGTCTTAAATGTGTACAACATTCATCTTTTACTTGAAATGGTTCTTTTTTTATCAAATTATTAGATTCCTGATTTTTTTCTTGAAAAAAACTCTCGGTTGAAGGAAAATGAAAAAAAAATGTGTTTATACTATAACTTACATTTACTGCTTTATGGCTATCTAAGTTTCTCGAATGTTTAGTCTTGCAAAATGTATTATTACTTTCTTGAAACGTCGTACAAGTCAGATACAAAACAAAAGTAACAAAAAAACAGGCCGGAAACAACCTGCCGTATAGTTTTTCTGCACTTGTAGTCAGGTCAAGGTCCTCGGCTATCGCCTCGTACCTTGACCTGACTACTCGCGCAGAAAAACTATCCGGCAACGGTTGTTACCGGCCTGTTTCTTTGTTACCTTTGTATTGTATCTAATACATACATTTTCGCCAATATACAGACCGGTCAGTAAAATTGTGATGTAGCTCTTTTGTCGTCTTCGTAAACCAGTTAAACCGAAACCTTTGCATGATGAAAAGAGGAAATTCCTTCCTGTTCAGTTTACTAATAAGGGAATTGATGCTATCAACATCAGCAACATTCTTCATCACAAAGAGGTAACATCTAAAATTCAAATCTATTTCAAAAATCAGTCTGTTCCTATTTTATCCTACAGTTACACCAGAACCATTGCTCCTAAAGTATTTAACTATAAGCAAGCATTGCTGGACCTTGATTTAGAAAAATACTTGAAAAAAACCCTCCGACAAGTGACTGTTCTCATTCGCCTTATATTTACAGCCCCTCTGGCCATGTTATTACTGCGGATCTTAACATAATTCAACTTGAACATCTCCGAAAGGTGATATCTCATGGTTAGAGAACCCCAACACATCAATTTGAACCATATCCTCAAAATAATTATGGATTCTATTGAGTACTACGCCAAGGCATTAGCTAAACGAGAAGTAGTTGAACTGGACACATTGTCAGAATTTGTCAAAACTATAAGGTCACTGATAAA